AGGGGGTGACAATTAGTGAAATGTAGAGAGAGGAAGAGAGGCTGTGGAATAGATGGGGGTTTTAGAGTTTGAGGTTTTTTTGTTAGTTTTATGGAATTTGAAAATGCAAGCATATAGAAATTTTCCAAACATATACAACGTGGTTGCAAGCCGTGCCATTAGTAAATGTGCACTGTAGCTCATTATATATAATAACTTCATGATGTGCAATAAAATAACATAGTACATACCATGTATATCAACAATAAAATAACATAGTAGATACCATGTATATCAATACTAATTAACACTGTTATATTAATTAGAATTTGAATGGAATTTGGATGAGTATATTATAATATATAATAGTTATAATAGAATATAATATATAATATACAATATATAATAATAATAATAATAAATATTAAAATATTTGAATGAACAAATGACTTGGTTATTTGAGTGACAGTTTGAATGAGGGCATTTTGGTATCTGGAGGGCATTTTGGGAAAAAGTGTAACATTAGACACCATTTTAGAATAGTATTTATTAGATAGAGAGAAAGAAAGGGTGGAGAATTAGGTGGGGGTTCGAGAGTTTGAGGTTTTCTATTAGTTATGGAATTTGAAAAGGCAAACATATAGAAATTTGCCGAAGTGGGATACAACATGGTTGCAGGGCAAGCCATTAGTAAATGTGCATTGTAGCTCATGCATATAATTATATCATGATATATATCAAGATAATAGTACATACCATAAAGATATATATATGCATTGTAGCTCATGCATATAATTATATCATGATATATATCAAGATAATAGTACATACCATAAATATAAATATAAATATAAATATATATATATATATAATACCAATTAATACTATTATGTTAATTAAAAGATTATTATAATTTGAATGAGAATATGGATGAGGATATATATTATAATATATAATAATGATAATAGAATAGAATATAATATACAGTATATAATAATGGTAATAATAATATTATTTTATTTTTATTATTTAATATTACAATATTTGAACGAATGGATTACTTGGCTATCTGAATGAGTTTGAATGAGGGCATTTTGGTGTTTTGGATGTAATCTAAAGGACATTTTAGGAAAAGAAAATTTTTAACATAGGATAAAATTTTTGAATAGTATTGGATTAGATATATGATGTCATGTTATTAGTACATATCTGCTTTTGCAACATTCTTATTGCTTTTAGTCTCTTGAGTTTTGTTTTTGGAAATAAAAAAACAGTATTTGGCTTAGGGGTGGCAAACGGATTCGGTCAGGTCATCTAGGGTCGGGTCAAACTTGACCCGATCCATTTACGACTGACATGAACCCAACCCGTTTAATAATTGGGTGAAGTGACCGAACTGATTTATTATAGCAGCACTCGAATGACCTAATGTTTTTCTTCGCCTAAACAAGTCACCCGAGTTCGGAACCCGAGACTTAACCCTTTTCTTTTGAGAAACTAAGCCATCAAGCAATCCACATGAAAACTGTGGCTCGAAAAATAATTGAGTAGTTCTTTTTGTTGGTCCCTAAATTTTTTCATATTTTGTAATTAGTTACCAAAACCATGAAAATTGCTATTAAGTCCTTCAAATCTTAAGCTATTTTGAAATTAGTCCCTCAAATCATTGAAATTGTGATTAAGTCCATCAAATCTTAAGTTATTTTAAAATTAGTCTCTCGAACCAAGAGAGAAAATAGTAAATGGAGACAAATTTAGTCACTTAAAGTCATTGAAGTTGATACTAGATCCCAAATTATCATAAGTTGTTTTAAATTACTCCCTCTGATTCCTTAGTTTTACTCTTGATTTAAGGAACTAGTTTTAAAGTAACTTTAGATTCGCGGCATTTAATAGGACACTTTCCACCAAATTTTGGCTGTCTAAGAGAATAGATATTTCTTTATTACTTCAACGCAGTGCTTAGAATAATGTATTGACTGTAATAAATCAAAATTAATAACATGAGATTCACCGTCAATTTAAAGCGTAAGGTTTACTCTGTGATACTATGATTATCTGCAGTGGTGGACTGAGGATAAAGCGAGACATTACCGAATATGGAGACTTCGTTCGCAGCTTCAATGCTCCTTCTGTTGATGAAAAAATTGAACTGCTGAGCATGTAAGTTGTAGAAAATGTGCTCTTTCATTGTGTTTATTCCCCCCCTCCCCCCCAGATGAGTAAATGAGTTGATTAAATAAATATTTTTTTCAGCGCGGCGAATGTCTTTGTTGTTGCCCCTGACAGCCTTGCTTCCTTGTTCGAAGGAAACCCAAGCATCCGGAAGGATGCTTTAACGTACGTTCCTGCTTCTTGATATTTGTTAATATTTAAAATCTTAAATTGCCATGGTTTATGTACTGATAGATCTCAAAATTCCAGGTTTATTCAACTTAGAGATGACTACAAATCTGCAAAAATTGCATCTAGACTCAGTAGCATAATGTCTGATTCATAGAGAACTGATAATCAATTTGAAGGAGGATCTAGCAAGAGCATCGTTGGATCAAGTAAAGTGGACTGTCCTAGTTTCGCAGCAAGTACTTTTGCAAATAACTCGTGCCGACCAATTAGATGCCCAGAATCGGCAATAAATTTCGATTGGTATATAGTTTCAGCAAATCCCTTGGAAAGTATTGCACGGACAAGCTAGCTTTGCTGCAGCAAAGTGCTGCATAAATTATTAGTTTTTCAGTTTTTGTTCATTGAAAATTTAATTTTACTAGCTTATATGCTGTGAGGCCATTACTTGCTTCTGATTTCTTGCATGTTGATCTAGACCATAAGAATATTGTTCACATGCACGTCAAAACAAGCGAATATTGTTAAGTCTTTCACAATGATGGTTGAAGGATTGTGGGTTTTTCAAAACATGGATGTGATGAATGTGTTGAGATATATGCGGGATTATTGACACTTGCAATGCTCAGTAAGTTTTGCACTAGCAACATATCATCATTCTGTAAAGACTAAGGAGCAACTGTAGAAAATATGTGATAAACAACTCATGTAAACTGAGAAAATATGTGAAACAACTCATGTAAACTGAGCATCTTCATGCATCAAGCATTTATCGTCTGATAAATATGTCGAGAATTCACTTAGTCTTAATGATGGCATTTGATTAACCATCTAAAAAAAGGAAATACTTGATTATAACTCATGCAGAGTAAAAGTCATGGGAATGTCGCAGGCAATGCAACAGAGAGATCAAGCAAAGTCAAGCTTTTATCGGGTTTCTTGCATATCCGCTGGCAAAAGGAAATGCAACTATCTGACCACGTTAAACTTTATCCATTAGCTTAAACCTAAGCCCGTGATTCCTGACAAAAAATTCATGTGACTATAGGCGGATAATTACTTCACAAGAAAAACATTCAACGTAAATAGTTTACATTTAACCATATAGAAACACAATGTAGTTACCAGACAAACATTTGATGGGAAAACCAAGATGCAGTTTAACTGAAACAATTTATACCACAACATTTCCGGTATCTGAAAAAGTGAGGCATATTGCCAAAACCGAGAGAAGGATTTACACATCAGAATTTTGTTTCGGTGTCACTCTTTGTATTGTAATACAACCTGAACTAATCAGAATACAACAAAAGCTGTACAGGACCTAACTGGATTCTCGATGCAGACTCAGATGCGGTTACCCAGCCAGCAATGTGCAATATGGCAAAGATAATCTGAGAATAAGATCCATCCATAGACACGATAAACTCAGACTTCAATGCACCAGGAATGAATAAACAAATGAATAAATAAAGACATATAACTGTCAAATAATCTTAGAAGCTAAAAAAAAGAGATTATTACGTGAAGAGGTTGTGGAGAATATCATTTTTGGTAAATCAAGTGTGAAAATCGAAGGGTAATATTACAGACATATGTAAAAGGCCAAGCAATTTGACAGCTTATCCCTTATCAGAAAATTTATTATTATACAAATTAAGGTGAAAGATGTAGAAAGTGCTTTGTCTCTATTTCAAGCTCACAGATCTTACTACTTTCAACTTTGTAAAGCTTCAATCATTGCTTATAAATGATACATATATATTTCAGTATTTCTCTACTATATCCCCAACCAGTTGCCTATGAAACGTAGTTTATCTTTCATATCACCAACCAGTTACATATGAATGGCTCTCAAGTTTGCCAACACATCATGCACTTAGGCCCCGTTTGGATCTGTTTTTTGGATGGGTAAAAGTGGGTAAAGCTGCCAAAAATGTCAGCTTTTTGGCAGCTTTCCCCCTTTTTACCCATCCAAAAAACAGATCCAAACAGCCCCTAGGGTCTGTTTGGATAGAGGGGAATATGGGAGAAGGGTATGTAGGGGAACCTATTCACCCACTCAGGGGCTGCTTCGAGCTTGTGATTCAGTTTCGGAGGGAAAGCCAGGGCATGGTGTGGCATGATCACATACCACTAAACCAGGAAGAGAAGAAAAAGTAGTCCTGTTCTGAATCCGCTTTGGCTACTTTGTCTGTGTGCACAAGAGCTAATTCAATAGCAGTCTTCTATCAAGCAGCACTGACTTTTACACTGAATATGATCACCGTAAGAGCTGATTTGACGGGAACCCTATTATGCCATCTGAGGATTGGATGCTGTAAAAAGCGCTATCCCATCTGTCCATTCTTTCTTGAAAAAACGTATGATAAAAGAGAAATCCCCCTTACTGTTGGAACCAAGGGAAGTATTGTTTTATGCTCTTCTAGTCCTTATTTAGAACGGATATTAAAAAAAATTCCTCGCTTCCAGAAGGTAGTTTACTTGCTTACTTGTTAAGGAGCATTCCCAAGAGAATTGCCTTGCCTTCTCTTTTGTCCCCTATTTTTCCTTAACTTCCCCTACCCCCAATGAAATCCAAACACACACTTGAAGATGCAAGAGTCCCTGAGTCAATCCTATTTTAAAATGTAACCTTTGATAGGATACCGACTCTGATCAATAGAAATGAAAAATCGACACTCTAAATCATGCACAGGTTTGCAACCATGTCACTAGTAGGCAATATACCACTAACAGTCATGCACAAGTTTGCCACAAATGGATGTATTTAGATTTAGTTGTGATCAACTGAAACCGACCATATATGAGTTACAGTTATCTGAATGTATGGACCTGTTCAGAACCGAATAAGAATATTGATCAATTTTTAATACGACTGTCTAATCCAAAGCATATGATTTTACAAAACCAAATTTGAAATATATAACTACCATTACCATGTAATTCAGCCTATTTGCTACCCTGCTAGTTTTATACTCTTGAATGGTGCTAATAGTTTTTAGATACAAAAACCAAAAATGATGGTGATGACTAATGATAACGATAACAATGATTTAAAAACCTCAAGTATTCTTTTTTATCTGCATTTTTTGGAAGCATTTCTTGTTTTCAAGTGAAATTAAGGGGCTCTTGGGACGGATTAGAATATTGCACTCAGCAACTCGTGTATTTTTTTCATGTGTACGTCTATATCTTTAAAACAGCATTTAAGAAGAAAAACAAATATTTTGTACAAAAAACAGATCATGTTATTACTCTAAACACTGCAATTAAGTTCAATAATCTTTACTGTCTTCGAGTAGGTGTGCATCCTCATTAAGTTTTGAGTTAGCATAAATCTTGCTTCCATTCTCAACGGATTCTCCTAAGGAGCAAATGTAAATAACTATACCTAGAAAGTTGATATTTGCTGCAGGTTTATTAACTTAAATAGCAAGCATCCTGCCATGAATGTCTAAATTTAGGGCACGAGATTCAAATATACATTATTTCAAACAGCAAGTATTTAACTTTCATTAAGAACCAAGAGCATGTGTAAAATCAGACTAGCGTGTAGTACATGCAGATTCAGAATATTTTCCTTTGTGGGGTATGGGGGAGGGTGGGCGGGTGGGGGTGGGTGGGGGGGGGAAGGTGCGGATAACAAGTGTCTATTTAACTAGAAGTAAAAAATATAAAATTACAAAACACTACAATATGTAATGGGAATGCACTCAATAAAACTTTTTGCTAAAAATATAAATGATTTTATTTAGCGGCTTTGGGGTGCATTTCTTTAAATTTATATGTGGCCCCGCGCGCGGGGGGGGGGGGGGGGGGGGGGGGGAATGATTGCAGTTACACGTCACCATTCATTAGACTCACGACTGGATTATGTCGGTGGAATTGCAATCCAGAGTCAAAACAGCAGCTGCGTCATTCTTGACTTTCAAGATTATAGCTATGAAGTAACAGGATTAGGTGGTCCTGCCAATAAGTAAAATTCAATATCAGTCTTTTATTTTGAGAAAGAGAGAGATGGAATGTCAGTGGTTTTCTTTGTTATATTTGTATGGGTGTATATGCCGGTGTTTGTATGTGTGGGTGCATGCAAGAGAGAGAGAGAGAGAGAGAGAGAGAGAGAGAGAGAGAGAGAGAGAGAGATACCATTCATTTTAATTCAGGCGCAAAAGGAGCTGGACAAGGAGAAACAGAGTGATCTGGCAACTGTTTTATGAATTCCAAAGTAGACTGAAGACAAGCAGTTAACATTTTCTTTTCAATCATTACAAGTTGGGTAGCAACTCGTTTCTTTGGATCCAGACTGTAATCTGCCAACTGATTTACCACGTGATTGACTTAATAAGCTACGGAACCTGGTCAGATGTAGAAAGTAGAAGAATAACATTGTCGTAAATATTACCATTGATTCATCTTCGCTTAAGGTTGTTGGATAGCCGGCAAGACGAGTCTCAAAATATCGGACAAGCTGGTCTAAAACAGCTCGCTCCATGCATGGACTCGCCTATTATTAATAAAATGCACATGAAATTAACAATATAATGTGATGTGCATCTTAGAAAAAAGTACAAACAGTACCTACATAATTATAAGGTACCACCCATATCATTAAGGAGGAGAGCTCATGCAAAAATATTTGAATAATTCAACTTAGTAATCTGAGCTCGTAAACTAAAGGATTCCTCCCTACATAGCATTCACATGGTAGCACAGAGAAACGATCATGCAATACTGATCTATAAGTAACAAGAATGGTTATACAGCAAAGGGAATAGTAGATAATCTAATAAGATCAATTGACAAAGATTTCACCTCCTCGATGAACGTACACATTGTAGAGAAATAGAGAAGCCAAAGATATTATTCATCTAACCCTAACTTCTCTTAAATAGAGATTTGAAGTAGCCGTTGAGCAAGAAATAGATCTCACGAAGTAGCAATCCAAAAAGGTATCATATTAGCCCAATGTAACTCGAGCATAAGTCAAGACCCAAAATAGTGTCAGACAAAGTTCACAATTAAATCCTCAATTTCTGATAAGCTGATAATCGGCCAATCAGAAATAAAAGACCCTCAATATAGGGACATATCAAGGCAAGAAGAAACTCTAGGTGGGAAGCTAGTAGAAACCCTAGGCAGGTAAAATCAGTAGAAACCCCAGGTGAGCCAGTAAAAACCCTAGGCGCGCAAGCCATTAGAAACACCAGCAGTAAAAACCCTAGGTGCGCAAGCCATTAGAAACACCAGGCAGATAGCCAATAGAAACTCTAGGCAGATAGCCAATAGAAACTCTAGGCAATTAAGGCAGTAGAAACGCTAGGCAGATAGCCAGTAGGTCGTTGAGGAAATATTGAAAATTTATGCTTGAGTGATCAAAGTGGTGCTTAATCTGTAGAAGGTACAGACTAGACAGATCTTGGATTGATCTATAGAATAAACGGACCAAAAAGTTCTTGAATGGCTCTGTTGAAGATGTATTTGATGCAATATAAACCCCATGACGTAAATCTGATTCGGATCGGATCTAAAGTTATCAAAGGCAATCAGCAGAGAGTACTACGATGAACTATAGCCGTATTTTTAAGGGTTTTTGAAGTGTAGGGTTTTTGACTGAGGTTGTTGAAACCGAGGTTTTTGAAGCCGCCGAGGGGAAGCATAGAGGTCGTGCTTGCGACAAAAGCCCATCGGCAGCCCCAAGATCTTGAAAGAGAGAAGTTCTTTGGGATCGAGATGTCGGCTCTAATACCATGCATAGAAATAGAAAAAGCAAAGATATTATTCGTCTAACCCTAACTTTTCTTAAATAGAGATTAGGAGTGTTACATAAATAGATATGGATATTCGCCTAATTATCCAAACACCTAAACAGTGGAACATATAATATCATCCAACACATCTCCTAGTCAAAAACTTCAGTTAGCAAGCCTTGTTGACTAACAAGAAGACTAAAATTTACCAATCACGATCAGTGTTACCCGACAAGGAATCACACTTCATTAAGAGAAATCTAAAATGATATATTTAGCTTTCCTCAGTGACTTTAAAGGCGCAACGAGGCATGCGCCTCGGGCGCAAGGCGCTTCGGCGCAATGGAGTAGCGTCCCGCAACTTGCTTCGGACTCGCGTCTCATCAGTGTCCCGCAACACCTGACACAAGCGCGAAAGCACGCGCCACAGTAACAGGTAGGCAAAGCAATGAGTTATTGGCTTTTGGGTACAAACCCGATTTTCACTTAAACCTGAAAGAAAAAAAGCAGTGGCTAGGGTTTTGTCGCTCCTTCTCCAACTCTTTCTCCCGATTTTCATTCTTGCGGCCTCCACTCGGCAATAGCAAGTGGGGGCGACGGGCAATAGCGAAGGGCGACGACGGCGAGCGGCGACGGCAAGCAGGTTCTCCTTTTTTTCCAGTTTCCTTTTATTTTTCGATTTCTTTTTGTTTTCTTTTTTTCTTTTGTTTTGCAGTTCTCTTTTTTAATCCTCAGCGAGCAGATTTTTTTTTATTTGTGATGTATGTTTTTTAACAGTAAAAATGTTCTTACTGTTGCTATTGTGGCAACCAGTCTTACAGAAATTTGATTGTTGTTTTAACAGTAAAGGGTTTTGTCACTGCTTCAGTTATTAATTAAGTTTATTCTTCTAAAATTGATTTTGTTGCATGATTAAATGAAAATTAACGTACAAGTTTAATACTTTAATTCACTAAATCTATATATTATATTATTTGTAAATATATGAATTTTGTTGCATAATGCATATATGTGTTTTGGTGTAGATATGTCTTCATCGGTGGGTGGTGGAAGAAGACAAGATCCTACATGAAAATATACTTCATTAGTTGATGGGAATGCCAATAGACACAAGTGCATATTTTGTAACAAGATCATAAATGGCGGTGTATCCCGACAAAAAGAGCATATAATCGGGACAGATAGGAAACGCAAAAATGTGAGGCTTTGTCAAAAAATCCCTCCCGATGTGGTTGAAGAGCTAAAAGATTATGAAGAACAACAAAAAATAGCTAAAAGACAACAAGCTATAGATGATTATCTCCCCGAACTTGGAGATGAGAACATGGTTAAAATCGATGAGGAGGAGGATGAAGATGAACAAGTACAAGAATGTAGAGATAGAGGAAAAGGCTCGGCGGTTGTTAGGTCATCTTCGGTAACGGCAAGAGGGAGGGGGAGTGTTGGCTTACACAGTGTGGGATCTTCCATAGGCCCGAAGAGAAAGGGGCCGATGGATGCATTTCTTACATTCGATCCAGCTCTAGAAGTCGTCAAGGATGAAAGAAGGTGCAAGGTGAGGCAAACATGTATTGAAGAAAGCCTTAACAAAAATACAGTGGCTAAAATGTATCAAGACATAGCTCGGTGGTAGTATCAAGCTGGCATTCCCTTTAATGCCGATCGTCTTAGATCTTTCAAAACCATGTTAAAGTCCGTGGGGGCTTTTGGGCCTAACTTGCCTCCTCCGACACTACACCATTTGAGAGAGCCTTTGCTTAAGGAGAAAAAAATACACTGATGATCTAATACAACCTCATAAAGATGTGTGGGCTACCAAATGTTGTTCTTTCATGTCAGATGGTTAGAGTGATAGAAAGGGGAGGACATTGATCAACTTTCTTGTGAACTCTCCTCATGGTACGATATTTCTTTCCTCTATTGATGCTTCTGATGAGATCAAGACAGGTGACAGAATGTTTGAGATACTTAGTGAGCAGATTAAGCTCATAGGACCTCAAAATGTTGTTCATATCGTCACAGATAACCATTCTAGTCTCAAATATGTAGGTAAATTTTAAGCAATTGATTTTATTTTGTTTATGAATCATTTGCTAATGCTATGTTAGGATGCTCTGATATTGATCTTTTTTTATTCTTTTATTTATAGGAGCGGAATTGGAAAAAGAGTATCCTCATTTATATTGCACTCCATGTGCTGCTCATTGTATTTTGACTAAAAGGTAGAATTCTAATTGCTTAAATTATCGGGTTCACAATTCCGTTCGAACTTTAGATGAATCATTATGGCTTCCTACTTGTTAACACAGAATTGTAACTTTAAGGGTAACAATTGATGTATATAGCTTGAGAATTTATTTTGAATACCCAAAATTTGGAAATAAACAACATTAATATGTGAACGCCGAGACACATGCATTTTTACTTTATTTGGATGTATTTGCAAGTGTTCATTTCTAACTCTGTAGGCTTTATTGAACCTGTTACCAGTATCATGTATCCTATCACATATTTGTATGGTGCATCATAGGTTGCCAGACTAAGTGGATTCAGTCTACCTTACATAAACCTTGTTCTAATCATTTTTACAATGAAGAATCAAGCATCAGAGTGTCTAAACACCACCTTGTGAAGCCAAAAGCATGAGAAAGTTAACATATATCAGAATATGTGTTCTGTGTGTTATATAACGTAAGGAGCTTTATGTAGGAAACAATCTAACTTCAATTTGTTTCCCAGGATGCTGGTTATAGATAGTCTAATGGTAGAGATTGACAGGGAGGAAAATCTTACAAGAAGAAGAATAATAGTATATAATCTCTCTCTTATGACCTCTCCTTTTAGACAAACATGTGCTAGTTTTGATGTCATCACCAAATAGTCTTCTGTTACAGAATTAAAAAGAATACGAAGTGGATAAGGAGACTTACAGGACAAATAGGACCTTGTGAAGATATAACTGAATGCATTTCAGATGGCTCTGAGACATAACCTAATCGCAGATAAGGCAGCATGTCTAGAACAGCCTCTTTCTCTCTTCCCACATACACCTACGCAAAGAGGCATAATATAATGCTCGCCAAGCAACTATATGAAAAAGTCAAATACTACAAATTCCTACGTGAAAAACTTGAACAGCAAGCTTTCCATTTCTCTGAGCCACCATTCTCTTCTCTTGGTATTGTGGATCATCCATATTTAAGGATGCCTACATCACAAGTAACAAGTGAAGAAAGTTAATGAACGGGCTAAAGAAGTCCCATGTAATATTAAATGCATTGTATGGACTTCACCTCAATCACTAGACGATCATAAGGATTATCTTCATCCACAAAACCGTAGTTCAGGAGCAACCGTGAATTTGGTTGTGGCCCACACCTGTGACATTTTTTAGAACATTGACTAACAGCATTGCCAATGGAAAGGGGATCCAAAATTATAGCATACTCACTAAGCATATGAATTGGGGAAAAAAGAATACCATACGACAATTGCCTCTCCAGCTTTATACGGGCGGTCAACCACGAGTTGAACAGCATCATCGGCTGCAGTTAACATTGCTTTGCAGTTGCTCTTGTAAGCCAATAGGGGAGGCCCTAAAGGAACCAAAGCAAACCTTCTAGCCAGACTGACTTTCTATTTCCAACAAACAGAAGTATTGGTTTTTCAGATGGTTGACGAAGTAGAGGTATATGAAGCCTAAACAACCAACAAGTGCCACTGTTTACATTGCTAAGATTTTTTTCTTCAACCATAAAAGAAACTTAGGTATGCTGTGAACTACCAAGATTGCAATACATCAAATTGAAAAGTACACTGTAGACATTTAGAGAAATTTCTCGTCCTAATTACGATAACATTTCAGGCGATCCTGCCTACTGGCAGTAATTTACGTATCAAATCTCCTTATACTAGTAAGCCTAAATTTCTTTAGCTGATTATGCGAACGTTAGAGACATTCATATCCTAGCCATCTGAATTTATATTTCATAGCATTTTAAATGAGCATCACAGAATTACCTGCAAATGCACAACACATGATTGAACTGCAACAAACGCCTGCTTGAAAATCTCAAATGGAAAAGCCTCAGTAGGTATGTCAAAAGGGTATTGCTGCACACAAAATAAAGGATATGAAACATGGGGGAAGCAAAGTATACGACAAACTTCATATTGAGTCTATTTTGATAAAACGAGAATGCAACAGCTTAAGATTACTAATGTGTGAATGAGAATTACCTTAAACAATGAACCTGCCATAAACCAGACTGTATCCAATTCATTGTATTCTCTCTTTATTCCTTCACCTCTTTCAAGAACTTCAGCCTAAATCATTGCGGAAAACATAATTTAGTTGTTAATTTGTTAGAATATTAAGCACATGATAGAGTCCACATGCATTTAAAAAAAAAACTTAACATAAAAGGAAATCCGTACAACAGAACCTACCTTGGTAGGACTACCATCCAGATAAGCAAGTTCAGCTTTGGACCACAGAAGAGGAGATTCCACAGCTAGTTGTCCTCGGCCCCGTTGACGGTCAAGTTCCTTGATGAATGGATACCAAAACGATTTTTTACCCTGCTTTTTCTCGTACATGAGATACAAAGCCAAACAGGCTAGTTCAGACAGCTTGTTGGTTGTTAACAGTTCCGCTGCATGACCCAAGGAGATTGCAGAAGAGTCAGATATTAAATAAATCCAGAACAAATGAATGTTCAAGAACTACTTTCCTAAGACCCACATATGCAATTCCAACAAAAGGGACAGAATGGAAAAAAAATCAAAAATCGTGAGGAAAAAAATCAAAGATCGTGATTAACTATTGTAATCTATACACAATTTACAATCACAGATTCACAGGACATGTTTCAGTATTTCCCAGAATGTGGCCGGTTTCTTTTGCAGACAAACCAGTCATAATCTTTTTTGCAAGAAAACATGATGCAGGCACGTAACCATAACATTACACTACTAGATTAATTATTACAATCTAGAAGAAGTTAACTATCACAAGACATGTTTTAACATTTCTTAGAATGAAACCTGTTTCTTTGGCAGAAGAACTAATCATTGTCTTTTTTGCAGATGCACAGGAACTTGGGATCATAACATAATAAAACAAGCAAAATTGACCCAACAAATACATTATAGTGAAAAAAGTCAAAAAAGAAAAAAATATAGTTTAGGTATTTAGTTTAAAAATACTCCATACATATAATTATTTAGAAAAAATATAGCATGTTACCATAAGATATAGCAAATGTATACCATATTGTTGAATACAAAGTGGGTTCAAAATTAATTCGGTGGATTATTTTGGATTTAAAAGTGATTTTTGGAAGTGGGTGGGTTTAAGAATAAATAATGGTAAAATTTTAGGTTAACAGGCAAAGAATTCTTTTTGAAGGTAGTTGTATTTAAAACTAAATGAATGAATAAAACTCATCTACATCAAGTGAGGCTCGTGACATTAGTGTAGAAAAAACCCAACAACACGGTTTAAGCATTTGGTTATTAACTACATTATATATTTAACAGCTTAAAATAAAAATGTAATAAGCTACAGAAAAATATAACACAACTATATACCGAACTGCTGGAGTACAAAGCATATCTAAAATGGTTTATAGGCAACCATCTATATCAAAATTGGGTTTATAGGCAAAAGTTTCATATACAAATTGTGATGATGCAACATTAATGTGAAAAAAAAAGAATAAATAAACGGTGTAAGCATTTGTTTAAAATAACCGTATGTCCAACCAATTAGAATCAAAATATAGCAAGTTGCAGTAGAATATAACAACTGACATTATATACAAACTGTTGAAATACAAAGTAGATATAAAAATTATTCGTTGGAGTATTTTAAGTCTAAGACTGCTTTTCGAAGTTGGTCAGTTTAAAAATAAGTGGACTAAAACTTTATATTTATAGGAAAATTTTCCTTTTTTATGTGGGTGGATTTAAAAATAGGACAAAATTTGAAAAGCAACTCATTTCTAAAAGTAATTGTAAAAAACGACCTGTTTGAAACTTATTTGCCAAAAGCGACACAGTTTCAGCCAACTGGTTGAAATTGGGTCGTTTTTGGCGAAAAATTTATGGGACTTCAAGTCTCGTGAAGTTTTGTTATGTAAAATCTTCACGGGTCTTCAAGTCCCGTGAAGTTTGGTTTTTTTTTCCACCAAAAGCAACCTAGATTCAGCCAACTAACGATCCAGTTTCAGCCAGTTGGCTGAAACTGGGTCGCTTTTGGCAAATAAGTTTCAAACAGGTCGTTTTTTATGAATAAGTTTGGAAATGGGTTGGTTTTCAAAATTTGTCCTTAAAAATAAATGGGGTAGCACTTTGGGTTTATAGGTAAAATTACCTATTTACATTTCCTTTTTTTTAATTTTTGCTAAATTTAATATTGTTGAGTAGGGCTAGCAACAGTGGAATAGTGAGCATAACATTGAGAGCCACACGATTCACTAATTTCAAATTCATTTGCTTGTCCTCTCAGAGTGTTCTCTTCTAGCCAAAATGCTCTAGCGGTACAACTTAATTGCCTATACTTTTTTCCTATTTCCTAACATTCACCAAGTTTTTGCTCACCCAGTTTACCACCACTCAAATTTTAGTGCGCCTACATGTTTGTAGAACACTCCTATCTAAACTCAAGGGTCATAAAGTTAGTGTAAAAATATCTTTCCCAAATCTCTAAAACGTAAGATGATCTTTGTACATTGATTTTTTTGTCTCTACAATATCATAATTTTTAGAAGGTGAATTGTAGTTATCTACAGTGCATTACTATAGTTGTAGATCTACAATATCATGATTTCTAGAAGGTGAATTGCAGTTATCTACACTGCATTACTACAGATGTAGAGCCAGTGGTTTTAGTATATAGATAAATGCTACCTGAATCAGCAGATCCATGTAATAATTATCCTTTTTCCCTCTTTAACATTACGCCCATACTATTGTGACCACAACCTGCAGCTACTAGGTGCATGTCCACAACATAGTGGTATAAAGGCTTTTGAGTAATTCACCATTCAGTAAGGATTTTATCATAAAGGTCGGGAATATCATGTCTACTTAAGAATTTGATGAATTTCATGTACTGCTTGTTAGTGGGAGGAATTTACCAGAATAACCTATGCTATGAAGAAAACTTCTGGCTAGAAACTTTGGCATGTATCTCCTTTCCAACATAGTAAATGCATTTGCCATGTCTGACACTTAGTTTCTATGTATCTTAGTTTAATAAAGTGTGTTTAACCGAAAAGTGATACTGACACCCTTCTTCTGTTAAAAACTACCATTAATTTTTTTGGCACTGTTTAGTTTAAGTCGCTCCTTAGGCAAATACAAAACAAAGCCCCGTGTGGATCTGGCATCACAAAAGGGAAGCTAGGCACGGATCAAGTGACGCACTGTACATTGCAACTACTGAACTTAGAAGGCATTACCCTATGTTACCCCGGTGCTTCTATCATGAAGCTATGTCGGGCACGTACCCGTACTAATACCCAAACTTCACGGACACTGGGATATGTGCATACATTTATTCAAAAATGTACTCAATTATATGATATATATTTTAATTTTAAAACACTTTTCATACACTTCTTGTAAGTGTATCCTACGCTTCATATCCATTTCTTGAAACTTGTTAGCCATGGATCGTGTTTGTTTTAGTTCATATCCAAGTTAAAAATGACGATTTAAAGGGGTCGTTTGATTGTCTAGTTCAAAAATGAGCAACTTCCAATTTATAATCTAGAAATAATACACAAACTAGAAATAATAATGATCCCATGTAAATCATTAATTTCAATATATATATATATACATATACATATATATGTATATGTATATGTATATACATGTATATACATATGCATATACATGTATATATGTAGATATGTATATACATATAGATATGTATATGTATATACATATACATATACATATAGATATGTATATCACTGTTTTAAATATCGGCCGATAATCGATATTATCGGCCGAGTTATCGGATTTGGGAGCTGTCCGATAGGATAACTTGGATTTTTAATCGGTTATCGTTTTTGGCAAGTTATCGGGGAGTTATCGGCGTTATCGGTACTTATCGGCCGATAAGTAAGGTTTTTTTATCGGGATTATCGGCCGATAAGTAAGGTTTTTTTATCGGGATTATCGGCCGATAAGTAAGGCTATGCAATCAAATAGTTTCATCGTGCAGTCAAGATGCAAGTTTTGCTTTCTATAATTGGTTAGTGATTCTAAACATGATGATTTACATTTTGGTATGTTTATATTTCATTAAGTATGGTTAGATTATATTTTTTAGTTATCATATTATATATATACATCATCCAGTATATCACTCCGATAAATACTACTTATCCCCGATATATCCCCGATTTCCGCTATCCGATAAGGATTTTGGCCGTCCGATAAATCCCCGATAACCGCTATTTAAAACCTTGTGTATATGTATATGTATATATGTAGATATGTATATACATATAGATATGTATATGTATATACATATACATATATGTATACACATTGTTATCGAGGCGCAATGCGGGGCGCAAAGGCCCTTAAGCTCACCATGTGCAAGGCGCACAACGATGCGCGCACCTCACTAAATTGAGGCGCACAACTCAAATTAATATTTTCTAACATAAGACAAAGAAGTATATAAGCAACATATTTATAAATTGTCACATAAAAAGACTAAGAAATATAATTTTACCTACTAAATCACGAAAGAGTCTTAATTAGCATGCATAACGTAGAGAAGTTCATAAGTTGCCACAAATCACAATGTAAGATAATCTCCAACATAAGCAAAAATCTATGAAACAAAACAAGCAAGTAACAAATAAGATATATGTATTTTTATTTAAAATATGATATATGTATTTTTAAGTAACAATTAAGTGATTAAAAAAATATGATTGTTTATAATTTTCTAGTTAGCATTCTTAAATGCTATTTGCTAGTTAGCATGAAAAGATGGAGAATGGAGGTAACAATTACATATTTACATGTTCATAATTTTCTAGTTAGCATGCTAATTAGAGAAGGAAGTTACAATTAGCAAACAAGTATACTAAATTACTAATTATTGTTTCCTTTTTATAGGTTAAACATGAAAAGATGAAGAATGGATTAGCAACTAACAAGAAAGAGTCTATTACGGGATGTAAATATGTAATATGTTAACTATTTTAAAAAACCAGAAGAAAGAGTCTATTACATGACACATGTGTCAGCCGCACACGAGGCGCGCGCCTCGTGCAGCGCCCCGCCTCTGGTGTGGGGCACAATTGTTCCAACCTGCAGCGCCCCGCGCCGGGGGCATACACATATATACATATATGTATACACATATATACATATATGTATACACATATATACATATATGTATACACATATATACATATATGTATACACATATATACATATATGTATACACATATATACATATATGTATATATATTTATACATATATATACATACATACATACACACACACATATATATATACATATATACTAGTTGTGTCCCCGTACACTACATTTTACAAATTTTGCCATGTGCCGCACCTGCACAGGTACACATATCCATTTCCATGCAACTTTGGCAATACCTATAAGTCTTTAACTTTTCTATGCTGTGATTCATTTCCATGCATGAGCCTTCTCCAGTACATATATGAATCTTTCACTTTCATTACTATTAACATCCATATAAGCAATAGAACAAGAAAATATGCCAATAATATAGGAGATATAAACTTTTATCAACGAAATCATGAGCAATTAGTGTCTCTGTTAGTTTATCATATCTTTCATTTTAGGAAGTGGAAATTTGACAATGGATATTGTAAAAAGAAGGAACAACTCAAATTAAGAATGTCATCACTTCCATAATTAACTCCTATCAACTATATGTTGAGTCCAGATTAAGTTCAAGATTGGAATTGGGCTGGATCTGGAAAGATTCAGTTTGCTAATGCCTACATACTCTTGTTCAGGTTAAGGTCAGGGATTCGGTTTTCAACCCGTATCCATCCCAACATGTCCATCAGATCAACTTATATCTTACCCATGAATGGCTGGGACAGATTTTAAGTTGGTTTCAGTCCTATCAGAGACCGCATCAAACATGAGTAATCCAAAAAATAAAAAAATAAAAACTAGTCCTAATACACGCGCGCACGAGCACCCATGAATGTATGCACACACGCATGTGCACGCACACGAAGGGTGAAATGTTGCTTAAACTGAAATCATAAGAAAATACAAAAGGACTCAGACCAAAAATCACATCCCAGTTCTTCTCATTAATAAACATGCTATGACCATGATATGATGGTTTGAATATATCCAATCATTAGTCAAGTAGTCTCATCTGTAATGTCACTGAAAACATTTATTTAGAAACCACCTGATCATTGGTCTGAAACACATGATCTCTCTTCCATGTATATTATAACTTATGGAGATCACAAATCCCAGTATGTATCACGAGCAGCAACAACACATGTTAACCTTTAAAGGACATGTATTAAGACCAAGGTTTTAAATATCGGATATCGGGGAAATATCGGATGACCAAAATTCATATCGGATTGCGGATATCGGGGAAATATCGGGGATATGTGGTAAATATCGGAATACCATAATGAATGTTTGCATACATAGTATAATGCATTAAAATGTAATCTCGACATATGTAATAAAATTTAAACATACAAAATATGAATAATATATGCTTAGGATCACTAATCAACTTTCTAAAACAAACAAAAGTGCAAAGCAACGTTGCAACATTCGATCTGTTTTTTTAGGGCAAAATGTCATTTATGAATAATATATGTTTAGGATCACTAATCAACCTTCTAAAACAAACAAAAGTGCAAAGCAACGTTGCTACATTCGATCTGCTTTTTTTAGGCCAAAATGTCATTTGATATAATGGGGAAATCTTGATATCTCGCCCAAAAATTCCAAACACGGTATATTATTTTGCAACAAGCTATATAAAAAGATATATTGGTTCACATATTGGCTAATATATCGGCCATATCAGGGATTTATCACTCAAAATAGCCAAAAAGCGGTAAAAGATATTTAAAGATCATATCGGTTGCGGCAAGCCCTGTAAAAGGATATATCGGGGGATATATTGGGCCATGTCAGGAATATTTAAAACAATGATTAAGACTCCTTACATACTAGAGCTAATAAAAAGGTAATTTAATATATAGTCGCTACATTCTTCCTCCAAGTTGAAGCATGATATCTCACACGCAACTTGAGAGCTTGACAACCATCCTTCCCCAGAAATTACCTTCAAGGATTCTTATCAAAGAGCCACAATATATAGTTGAATACTTGAATAAGTAGTGGCATGCTTTTTTAGTTCACCAAGAATAATTTGGTTTATAAACTTTACGCATATCAATTTTAGTTAGGTTACAACCAGAGGATTGTTGCAATACATATATTCTTGCAGTGTTGTTAATGCATAAGGCGAAATGCGGGGCACAAAGTATCTTTATGCGCACATGCGCAAGACGCAATGTGATGTGCACGCCCAAGTGATGCAAAGCGCACACCGCACGCATAATTTCTCAAGATTGATAATCAAGCACGAAAGAACATGTTAAGGAATTCACATAAAAAATATGTCAGAATATATAATATCTTACTACCAAATCACAATAAAAGATCTTAATTTTTAATGTTAACACATTCAAAGTTCATAATTTTTCAAGTCAAATGTCAAATCAAGACTACTATCCAAGCAAAATCAAGTAGCAAACGACGATTAGTAAGGGTCCTCAATTAAAGGCCACTAGAAAGGCCTAATGGATTAATTTTGCTTTTATAAAGACATGATTGAATGTTAACAAACAAAAATAAATGAGTCTATGTACTAAATGCACACTGCACAAGGTCAAGATGCTTGTGGGGCGCAAAAAGCATTGTTGTATTAGATGCGGGACGTTTCGCTACTGCCCCGCATCACAAGGCGCATGAGGTGTAGTGAGGCACGCACCTTTAAAAACACTGTATACTTGCAAATTCACCATGAAGGAAAAAGAATGGAGCACAGCCAATTGTCTCCCACTTCTTCCCGTAACCTTGGATTGAAACTTTTTTTTTTTTTTGGGTGTGTGAAGCCTTTCTCATCACTTTGTATCAGAAGGGTCAGGTTGAGAGCACAATTGAAAGGTAGGAAAGATTCAACAAAACTAAATTACTAAATTTAACAGCCAACTCTCTAATCTCTATATTTCAATGCAAAATTCCTTGTCAAAGAAATTACAGCATGAATAAGCCGAGAAACCAACCTAGTGAAGCCTATTGGTGACTGCAAAATCACAAGCTTTGATGGTAAGCACCAAAGCTTCCACCGTGGTCAACAGCCTCGTTTGCCACACCCATATACAGTTTTACGGTTGTCATATTCTTTAGAAAATTGCTCATTCTGTCATTTTACTAGGAAAAAATGAACTATCATTGGTTACTTCAAGCCTCCACCTTCAACAACCCTGGTTTGAGAAGCTAAGCGTTTATGATTTGGTTTCTTTCTCTTAACATTTGCTTGACCTAGAACAACTACACGATTCAAAATTCAAATGTTTCAAGGTATTTAGAACAGCCCCTGTGCTTTGAGGTATACTAGTATGCTTAGGTCCACTGGATATCTATTGTTTTGATAAAAGTAAAACACCCAAAAACATTACAAGAAAAACAGTGGTATATACTAATATTTAATTTTCCAATACAGAAAAAACCATTTTGGCGTTAATGCATAGTCGGAGACCAATTACAAGCTCTGCTAACAATAAATTGAGGATCAATCTCTTACCAACTGTCTCGTTCCCTAAAACCCTCTCCAATGTAACAACCAAAGAATTCGGCACTGAGAACGCCACATCGCACGCCTGCAACCAAAACCCACCACGCTCATCCTCATCATCATCAAATCAAGAAAACAACCAACAACTACCAAATGAACTAAAAGAACCCAAATTCACCTTGAGATCCTCGCTGGCAGCGACGTAATGGATCGACCGATGCTTTCCACCATGAGAGGGCCTCTCTTTGAGCACGACCTTGCAAGGAGGCAGCCCTTCTTTATGGAGCCAAGATTTGAGGTCGCCACTCTCCGCTGATTTTTCGCCGGAGGCGGCGACTAGGGTTTCGGCGGAGCAAGCGAGGAAGCTACGTCTGAGGCGAGACGGTGAGAGGCGGCGCGAGAAGGTCAAGGGGAAGCGGACCGGGGAGGAGAAGGAGAGGACGGCCATGGCGGATTTGGGGAATGGGGATTAGGGTTAGGGTTTGGACGTGAGAGTTAAAAAAAATTGGTAAGGGCGAGGGGAGACATTTTTTTTTGTGTTCTTGGTGGTGTGGGAATGGGAGGGAGTTCTTTATCTGGTCTGCTGAACTGCAGTTTTTCAGTGGATTTGTTTGGTTGTGTAAGGGAGAGATAAGGAAGGGGTAAGGAGGAGGAGCGAGCTGACGATTTAGAGCATCTCCAACGGCTTCTTTAAAATTTTTTTCAGAATAGGGAAGTAAAAGTCATATTCTCTAAATTATTTTTACATCAACTCTAACAGTTTTTTTATTTTAAAAAATATTTTTTTTCCTCTAAAAATTTGGAGAATGCTGCAAATTTGGGGAAGCTTCCCCGTTTTTTCTTCTCCGTCTTTATTTTGGGAATAAGATGGGGACTCTATTGGACCAAAAACTTAACTAAATTCTCTAAAAATGATAAATGGGGAAGCTGTTGGAGATGCTCTTATGCGGTTGGGTTTTGTAGGTACTACTCTTATAAATCCGTGTAATCCTTTCTTCATCAAACAATACTAATAACAGCAACATAAAATAAAAAGTATGTGCAAAAATTCACAGAGAGTCCCTCAAATTGCTGTTGATATTAGTCTTTGAGGCTAGTTATGATTACAAATGCTGTGGAATATTACGTCATGTCTATATCGTACGGACAGTAATACCCTCACATACGTATCCTTAAGGAGGGTTATTGGTTGTGACAAATTGGGGCCAAGCATAATTTTATCTCTTTAGGATATTTTGAGTGGGGTAAAGTAAGATAATGGGATAATTTGAGCATTTGATTGACAATTCATGTGGGATAATTGATGATGTGGCACCTTATTAAAATATAATTTTACCTATTAATTACTTCTAAATTAACTTATCTAATTGGTTTATTATATTATTATAATATAAATATTATTTTACTTTAAATTAAAATATATATAGTACTATAATTACTAAGTAATATTATTAATTATTATTAATTATTACATTATATTATATTATATTATATTAGCATGATATACTATATAATAATTAATATAATATAAGATCAACATATTTAATATAATATTTAATATAATACATTATTTTTTATTTATACAAAAATATAATATGTTATACTATAATTACTAATTAATATTATTAATTATTATATTATATTAGTATGCTACATTATATAATAATATTATATCATAATATTTTATTAATATTAGTAATTATTATATTATATTATAATAGTATGCCATATATATAATAACTGATATAATATATAAATAATGTATTTAATATAATATCTAATTTAATATATTAGAACAGAATCATAGGTTAAAATTTACTGCATAAAATATTATAATATTTTTTATTTAATATAATATCATTTAAAATATCATCAGTGATTTGAGGATGCAATTTCTTGTACACTAGTTCATATGTTTTAATAGGATATAATCCAATCCATTTCGAGGTCATACACAAGATCTGATCATTTTAATTCAAAATACCAATCTTAATTTGTAATTAAAATATAATATAATATTATATGATAATTACTATGATATATAAAAATATCTAAAATGTATTATATTATAGTACAATAATATATTTATTATATTAATATAATATAATATAATATAATTACATAACATGATTTATATTTTATTTTATTTTATAATTAAATGAAATATACTAACATATTTATTAATTTTATATGTTATATTATATTATACTATATTATTATATTGGTTTAATATAATACACTATAATATAATTGCTACAATAAAATATCAACTACAATTTATACAATATATTATATAATAATATATTTTATTAAACTATAATATAAGATTATAATAAATACGTTGTACTATTATATAATATAGTATCTGATATCGCATAATAATATATAATAAATATCATAAAATTAATTATACATATAAATTAAACTATAAAAATATTTTATTTTATTACATGATAAATATAATATAATATATTGAATATATTATTGCTTTATATTTTATATATCATGTCATATATTTATAATATAATTAGAATGTATTAATTAAGTAATACAAAAAGGTTTAAAAATTATCACAATTGCCTTCAAAGTGGAACAAAATTGTTCCAATATAGAGGATGTGGTAAATTTTTACTATTGGGACAAATTTTTTGTATATGAGTAGGGTAATTTTATCCCAAGTTGTGAAATTGTCTCACTAGTGTTCTAAAAAACCAATAACACAAAAAGGTAATATCCTTGTTCCATTTGTCCCAATAAATAACACTATGAAATACGATCCCCAAAATTATCTCATTATCCCTCAGATGTCTCAATGAATAACCTCCCCCCCCCTAAGAGTTTAACCTGCTTCACAATTCATCTTTTCCAATGATCTTATCACGGTAAATTCATCTTCTCTGATGGCTCTTTTCATTTTTCGAAGCTACAAAAGGTCATTGAATCTCCCCTATTGATCAAATCTCCTTCTCTAACCTGGATCCCAGCCCGATTGCTAAGTTGTATGGGTGGGGGTATTTTGGTAACTAGACATCCTCAGTCGTCTAAATCGGGAAAACGTAGCAGAGAGACCAATATCAATATATTTTAGCAATTTAATTAAAATATGTTGGGGACTAATATCAAAATACAAATGGTTTTAAGGGACAAATATCGAAAAATCCCTTATATATTTTACGTTAAGAATTAAAAATGGGTTTTTCAATATTAGTCCCTTGCATTATTAGCATTTTGATATTAGACCCTCAAATCTTCATATTTTCATATTACTCCCCCAAATCTTATATATGTATCGATATTAGCCCCATAGTTTAGAATGAGTGGGGAATATTCCATTAACTTTAATGTTTGGGGTGGTTGGACAAATATACTCTCATCTTCTCTATTGAAAAGTAATAAATAGAGAGAGCGCCAGCACCTCCCACCACTATTGACACCTTAAGAGAGGAGAGAGAACCTGTAGGATGTCTAAAAATTGCTGCAAACAACTGATCCCCGCAAAGCATAAATGATGGAGGTTACAATCTGACAACCTTCACAACGACAGATGAAAGTTACAATTTGACAATTTTCACAATATACGAGAGTTACAAGTTGACAACTCTTACATTTCAAAGAACCAAATGCAAGGATTAAAAGACGACGATCTTTGCAGAACTTGAGAAAAGAAATTACAATTGATAATCTCTTCAAGCCCAAACGTGGAGCTCATCGTTGCGTTCCAAATTCAAGATGAAGAGCTCACCTCTGCGTTCCAAGAACAAAACATGAAGCACATTGTTGCGTTCCAAACTCAAGTCACGGAGTTCATATCTGCATTTCAAGAACAGAACACAGGGTTCATCACTGCATTTTTAGACCCAAACGCAGAGCCCAACTCAGCGTCCGAAGTTCAAGACGCAGAGTCCATTCCTAGAACGCGAACTTCGCGTTTGACTTGTTCAAATACGAGTTGAATGGTTCCAAAACCGTTTTACATGATCTGAGGGGATCACAACCCCACTAAAGAGCGATTTTAGGGGTTAGTTACACCCCTAAAACCCCTATAAAAACAGCTAAAAATCAGCTTAAAATGGATTTTTGGATCATCTGGAGATCAAAAAAGATCTTGGTAAAGAGGGAAATTTGGAGTCTTGATCTTCTTAGCATTTGGAGAGGTTTTTGTGAAGGCTTTTCTTGGAGCTTTCGGCCTTGGCTTGTGAACCATTTCGGTTAAATTTAAAAGGATTAATTTTCTTTCTGAAATCAACTCTTTTATAGAGTTTTAAACTCGTTTAGAGTATGAAACTTGCATCATAAGTTATCTTAAACTCATTCAGAGTTCTACCAAGTTCCACGAAGCGAGGTGTTCAGATTATCAACGGGATACAAGATTCAAGCTCCTATTGACACCAAGAAGAACCTAGGTTTAAACAAAGGGGAGGGTCTCCGTTGATCCCTTCTCTCTTTTGTAAATCGGGAAACGGATATAGAAGAGTTGTAATTTTTTTTCTAAATCAATTAGAGAGAGATTGCAAAGAGAGATTGTATTCATTCTTTTTCTAAGTCAGTTAAAGAGATAAATACAATTTATATTCTTATTTTTTCTTTAATTTTTCCACAAACAAAAGATGACAACTCCGCTGGGGATTAGCTTTTTCACCAATGAAGAAGTGGTGGCGCAATCCGACATCAACCTCGCTGGAACGACGATCAAAACTCTGATGGTGGAATTCGATCAAGCCAAGTATGAGGAGCTCCTCTCCTTCGGATCCCTTAGCCCCAAGGCTATGTGCAAGATCCGCAAAATCTCTAAGGAGACCAAAGCTCCAATTGTGGCCGACTCACCAAAGGAAAGTCTCTTCCCCGGGTTAGACTGTTCAGACAGTCTTTCCTCTGAAGGAGAAGACTTTAATCCAACTAAACTCGTCAACCGAGTTGAAAGCCCCAAGCCCACGTTGCCAAACCTAAACGCGGACCTCATGTTTTAAGTACCAAACGCGACCCTCACGTTTCAAGTGCCAAACACGACCATCACATTTCATTGATAAAACGCAAACCTCACTTTCTAAGTGCCAAACATAATACAGAACCTGATGTATACCGTGGACCTTTGGGACGATGCCTCGAACCCCGTTGGGGGGTCGTCTACTCCCCCTGGACCCCCCAGCTAGGGGCGCGCCGCCCCCGGACCCCCAGCTCGCTGACCGGGTAGCGAGACCCCCGTACTGGGTTATTCATAGTGCGACTAGACTGATGGGTGGACATAAGAAGTCTACGGATTCAAGGCATCTCAATAAGATCTATGTTCACCAGGAGCTAGTCCTGTCCAATCATAGACTGGGAATTCTAGTTCAAAACTCATGTTTAGTGAGTAAATCTCCTCGAGTCCCTATGACGAATTTGAGAAGGTTTTTATCGAGAGAAAGACCGGTGCAACAAGTCTCTCATTCATGTCAATATGAACGGCTGATTTCTACGGTCCTCTCGGGATGTCAATGCTGCTCACATGCGGCCAAACCATCAGTGTTTGACCGATTAACAAATGTTATTTTGCTAACAAATGACGACATTCTCATAGGAGGAAAACTTCAGAGGATGAATACATTGGAGTTACTTCCAATATGATCGGTAGAGGGAGGTCATCAATC